CACACACACACACACACACACACACAATATTTTTTTAAAAGACACAGCCATAGAGGGAAACCTCTTTGTCTCATGCTACATCCAGTCCTAGGTGGAAAGCCAGGTTAAAACTACAGCAGGGTTGGCTGAAAGGACACACCAAACCATTGGCTCTGTTTCTTCTCCTTTCCTGAAAATAAGGGCAAAACATTTTGTGGGAGAGTAGGCTCAAAGCTCAGTAAACCTTAGAAACAAGGGACTTTAACTACTCATTCATGTGGAAAGCTGCTGGGCAGGAGAGAGCCAAGATCTAGACATAGCAGAAGTCTCTTAGTCATTTGCTAATGCTTAAATCTGAAAACCGTGACTCTGATTATGACCCGTCCAAATGCCCACAGCAGGGCCAGGCAGTCACATGGCTGTCCATCTCCTTGAGCTGATCCCTTTATCTTGAGTTGATTCTCACCTTCCTACTCGGTTATAAATCAAAGGCTTTGTCTCAGAAGGTCTGTAAAGTTTGGGAGGTATTGTCTAACGTTGTTCCCATCACCCACCTTTCTTTATGAATTTTTTGCCAAGTCATTTGCTGGATAACTATGAGGCAGGGTATGAGGCAGGCCCCAGAGATTCTAATCCTAATGCCCCAGGACCTGTGAATACGTGACCTGGGAAATCCAGCAAGGGAGAATGAAGGCTGCAGACAGTGGAAGTGGCCATCCTGTACCTTAAGACAAGAGATTGTCCTGGAACATCCCGGTAGGCCCCATGGAAAAACAAGGGCCTTGAAGTCAAAGAGGGGGACGGGAGAGCCAATTCCAGAAGACTAAGATGTGAGACAGACCAGGCTAGCTACTTTTGGCTGTTGAGATGGAAGGAAGCCACAGCCAGGAAGAGCAGGAATCTTCCAGAGACTAGATAGAGAAAAGGCAAGGAAACAAACTCTTCATTGGGGCCCACTGACACTGAGGTTTCAGTCTAGTTAAGACTAGTTTTAGATTTCTGACTTCCAAGACAGTAAGATAATGCATTTATGTTGTTTTAAGCCTCCGTGTTTCTGGCAGTTTGTTAAAGGGAACTACATAGTAGCTGTCTAGAAGAGTTAGGGAGCTAGATCTTAACCATTTTTTATGATCACACTTAGCTTGAGTTTGGGGCTGGAGAGATGGCTCAGCAGTTAACAGCATTCTCTGCTCTTTTAAAGGACCTGAGTTCAGTTCCCAGCATCCATGTCTGGCAGTTCATAACTGCCTATAACTCCAGCTCCATGGGATCTGGCATCTTCTTCTGACCTCTGAAGGCACCTACACATACACACACACACATGCACACACACACACAAATATTTTACATAGATAGACGATAGATAGATAGATAGATAGATAGATAGATAAAGAGATAGATTGATGATTGATAGATAGAATGAGGGAGAAAGAGAATATAACTGTTCAGTTGAAAAAAAAAAAAACCCTCCAGTTTGAACTGAGCAATTTCCAAAATTAAAAATGTAAGTTGGGCCAGGTGTGTATGTGTGGTGGTGGGAGGGGGGTTGAACACCTTTAATCCCAGCACTTGGGAGACAAAGGCAGGTGGCTCTCTGTGAGATCGAGGCCAGCCTGTTCTACATAACAATTTCCAGGCCAGCTGTGGCTACAAGAGATCCTGCCTTTAAAAAAAAAGAAAAAAAAAAAAGCTAATTGGGGGCTGGGATGTAGCTCCTTTTACAGAGTGTTTGCCTACTATTCACAAAGTCCCAAGTTAGATCCTCAGTACCACATGATCGTAATCCCAGAAGTTCAAGGTCATCCTTAACTGCATAACTACATAGCAAGTTTGAGGCCAGTCTGGGCTACATGAGATGCTGTTGTGATTCTGGAGCATAGGTGCTGCCTGCATTCCAAATGTCCCTCTGAGTGAATGTTCCAGTCATCACATCCCAAGCCAGGACTGTGGCAATCCTGACAAGAGTCAGCATTCAAGAAGCTGAGAGGCTGTTTAGGGACGTTTCTCAAAAGATGACTATTATACATGCCTTTCTCAAAGTCATTTCTTTTTTAAAAAAGATTTATTTGGCGGGGATGTTGGTTGGAGAGATGGCTCAACAGTTAAGACCAGGTTCGGTTCCCAGTACCCACATATTACCTAACAACCATCGGTAATTCCAGTTCCAGGGACTCTGACACCCTCTTCTGGCCTCTGCAGACATTGCATACATAAGGTACACAACATACATGCAGGCAAAACACACATACATATAAAAATAAATAATTTTAGCCAGGTGTGGTGATGCACGCCTTTAATCCCAGCACACGGGAGGCAGAGGCAGGTGATCTCTGTGAGTTCGAGGCCAGCCTGGTCTACATAGTGAGTTCCAGGTCAGCTGGGGCTACAGGGAGACCAAATAAATAAATAAATAAATAGTAATTTTAGATTTATTTTTAATTATATGTATTTGTGCATATGTAAGTATATATATGACACATGTGTGTGGGTGCCTGAGGGGGTCAGAAGGGCATTGGATCTCCTGGAGCTGGAGTTACAGGCAATTATGAACTGCCCAGTAAGTGCTGGGAACCAAACTCGGGTCCTCTGGAAGAGCAGGAAGTGTTCTTAACCACTAAGCCATCTCTCCAGCCCCCCTCAATGTCATTTTTAAGCAGCGTAATTGTAATGCCAAACAATCTAGATGTTTCTTTTATTTCAATGAATTATTTCCAACATTTTTTTCACAGGAAGATTTTATTTTTCAAAAATAAAACAAGCTTGAGGTATAATCTTTGTCTCAAATAGCCCTGATTGTGGGTACCACATGTTGTCAACTGCTGATTATTAAAGACAGGTTGCCCCATATCCTCTTTGGAATCAAGAACTTCCATTAAAAAGGAAAAAATAAAAAGTACTTTCCATTTCTTGTGGCTGACCTCTGACACCTGGCCTAGTCTTCTCCCTTTGAGGCAAGAAGGCAAGATTTAAAAGACAATTTGATTGTTTCTTCTCCCTAAATAAACCTAAGGTTTCTTATAAAAATGTTTAACATAGCCAACTTATTAAAAAAACAGTGCTGGTGCACGCCTTTAATCCCAGCACCGGGGAGGCAGAGGCAGGCGGATCTCTGTGAGTTCAAGGCTAGCCTGGTCTACATAGTGAGTTCCAGGACAGCTGGGGCTACAGGGGAGACCCTGTCTCAAAAAGACCAAAAAAAAACAAAAACAAAAACAAAAAAACAAAGACAGCTCATCTCACCAAAAATATAAGTCAGAACTTTGTCAGCAACAAAAGACATTAATACCCCAAATATATAACAGGTTGTTTGCCCAAAATGAAAAGCGTGTATTTTTTTATTGTTGTTGCTTTTTTTTTTACATTTATTGATTTAGTTGGGGTTGGTGTTCAAGAAGACATACGCAGGAGCCAGCTCTCTCCTGTCATGTGGGTTCCAGGAACTGAACTAAGGTTTCAGGATTGGCAGTAAGCACCTTTACCCACTGAACCAACCGCAGTCCCCAACAGCTTGCTTTTATTTGAAAAGTTACATGTGTTGTAAAAGCAAACAGGATGCTATAGATTATTTACATTAAATAAAAACCAATGAACAGGGACTGGATAGATGACTTAGAGGTTAAGAGCACTGGCTGCTCTTACAGAGGACCCAGGTTCAGTTCCCAGCACCCACTTGGCAGCTAACAACCCTCTGTAACTCCAGTTCCAGGGGAATCTGTCACCCTCTTCTAACCTCCTCAGGCATTGCACAACACAGGCAATACATTCATATACATAAAATAAAATAATAAATAAAATATATTAAAAAAATAATGAACAGGGTTGGAGAGATAGTTCAGAGGTTAAGAGCACTGACTGCTCTTGCAGAAGACCTGGGTTCAGTTCCCTGCGCCCACATGGTAGCTAATAACTGTCTATAACTCCAGTTCCAAGGGATGCAACACCCTCTTCTGGCCATATGGGCACTATACGCACTAGCAAAACACCCTACATACACACAGGCAAAACACTCATACACATAAAATAAAAATAAATATATTTTTTTAAATCAATGAACATTTCCATTCACCACTTATCTGTACTGGAGACTTGCTTTCTCTGAATGTGAAGCAGTCAACTCTTCCGCTTCATGTGTTCCATTTTCACAGACTATTTCTATTCCCCATTATTACAACTGAATGTAAGTTAGTATTCATCCTCACCTCAGCTAGGACTTCTAATGTTCTGAAAGTCAACATGCTGAGGTGCACTGGAGAGAGTTCACACCAGTGAGGTGTTCACATGGTCACCTGTCCCTCATCACTTTCCCAAAAGTGATTTGACTGTATGAAATTTATGCTCCAGACCAGCTTGTTCTTACACTCAATGCTTGCTTGCTGTAAAATAAATAATATGCGGTGTATTTTACATAATTGATAACACCACACACAAATACTTTGAAAGCAGTTACCAGAAATGAAGCCATTTGTTCTGAACATCCTGAGCTGGAAAGTGCTTTGGAGTACATTTCTCAGCTGCTGGAAGCCTTGTATGACTTTGCAGCACATGCATCAGGACACAGCATGTATGTTTTTATACACATATGACCAGCACAATTTCAAATGATTGGAGTGACACCTGGGGATCTGACTGCTCTAGAGGGAAGGCACAAATGTTTGCTAGCCCCTGAGTTGGCTGTCCAAATTCTAGAACAGACATATCAATGTGATCTGGAAAGCAAAGTGAAGAAGGAACTGTCATCAACGAAGGTGGAGAACTAAATTTTTATTTGGTTAATAGACTAGGATCTTAGGCTAAGAAGTTCCCTTTAAACCAGGAAATGTGGGTGAAGGGAGAAGAAAGGGGAAGGGAGAGAGGGACGGAGGAGAGGGAATGCAAAAGAAAGGAAAAAAAGAAAAAAAAAAGCAGCAAATGTGGAATCACAGAATCAAAATACTGCGCATCTGAAGTAAATAGACGCCAGGGGCGAGTGAGTCATAAGCACATGGGTTGTAAGAGGTTGAATTGGAGAGATCAAGCAACGCTCCTTAATACATCACATGATCCACCCCAGGCCCGGTATTTCATAAAATAGAGTGGGGCGCCGTGGAGCAAACGCTGTTGCTGCTGGTGGATGGGGCTGGGGAGTTAAAAGTCAAGCCCTGACCGTGGGCCTGTGCAAGCTCAGCATGGGTCATTTCTCTCGGGTCCTGGGATTTCTGCTGCTGGCTGCAGGACTGCCCCTCGAGGAGGCCAAACGTGAGTTCCTGTGTTTCTCTTGTGTTCAGTTTCTGGACCAGGGGATGCTTAGCCGCGCGCTGGGGCGGAGTTGGGCTGAGGTCCGCAGGAAGCGCGGTGGGCCTCGCGAGCTTCTGCACGGTTGGAACTGCTGGAACCCTATTCCTGGTGGGGCTCGCGAAGAGAAAGCCAGGCCCTGCAGGAGGAGCTCTTGGCCGCCCACCCCCGCCAGATCGTGGCTGGAGGAGGCAGAGCCGTCTCTGTCCCAAGAATAAAACAAGTCTCCCAAACGACCCTGGTCTGACGGAGACCCCAGAAGCAGGCAGCCTCTCTCCTCCGCGACCTTGGAGGTTCTTGCTAACCCTGCCCTACTTTCCCCGGCAGATAGAAGTCATGCTGCCGCCCCAGTAGGGATACTGAGGCAAGGGCTGGCCCTGCGCGCATTCCTGGGTGGGCTCTATCCCAGAGCCCTTCTTACGACGCTGATGCCTAGTAGGCGACAGCGGCTTCTTGGAGAGTGGGGGATCGGGGTTCAGCATCCTTGTGCAGACACTCGAAAGTGCAGCCAAGATGGAGACGCACCCCGCTGGAGCGCGCCCACAGGTCCCCGCCGGGGCGTGGCTGTTCGCATCCTCAGCAGAGTTAGTGAAGAGGGGACGAACCGGTCCACGCCACCTCCGTTCCAGGGGTCCCCGCGACAACCCCGTGGCGGTGGCAGCGTCTGCGCGGCAAACACCTGTTGGCAGGGAGTTCCCACCTCCACCTCCAGTGCGCCCTGCTCCGGGCTTTGCAGCCTCCACAGTCGTCTCTGCTGGGTGGATACCAGGTCCGACACAGCGGAGCTGCTGGGGACTCTGCGCCCCGGGAGAACCAGGAGAGGCCCAGCGGGCCCCAGGCGATCCCAGCAGCTGCAGCCAGGGACTTTGGGCCCCTGGTCAGGGACTCCGCCCTGCCCCCTGCGGCGGCGACTAGGGGACTGGGCTCCACTGCGGCAACAGCAAGCAGGGGCCAGGCCCAGGGACCCGCGGAGTGTCTGGGCGTGGCGCCTCCTTAGGGCACCCGGAGCTCCGCACTGTGATTGTCCCCAGGTGAGAAGCCAGGCCTCTGAGAGGGCAAGGAACTCTCCCCGGGTCACACAGCAAGCAGGCCGAAGGGACAGTTGGCCATCTCAACTGTGGTCCTTCGGATCAGGGTTCGGAGTAGCACCCACTTGGGTTCCTGTCAGCCGCGGGGCTGGACCATGAGCGACTGAGCTTCTCTGAGTTTTCCTTTCTAATTCTTGGAGTTGGGTACTACGGCTTTAGGAGATCAGCCTGCAAAGGTGTTTGGCTAAGACATACGCGGTGGCCATTGTCATTATGGACATATCTGGGTCGGGGGCGGGGTGGGAGACAGTGTACTTTCTAGGGACAGACTGAGAGTCTGGAGGAATAAGGGGAAGTGACCGATATGAGAGTCCCTGCGCCTTCCACCAAGATCCCACCGCTCTATTCAATAAAAGAGAGTAGCCTGGATACTGATGGGGCTGTTTGAGAAGAGTCCCAAATCTGTTAGTCCCGTAACGAAATACCGGGGCATTCTTGGGTTCACATCTCGAGCTAGACTAAACATTCCCGTCAAATGAAACAAGATAATAGGATTTAGAAATCCTAGCCCTGTTTGGGGGGGGGGGGGGCAGGGGGGGCAAATCTGTTAGTCCCGTAACGAAATACCGGGGCATTCTTGGGTTCACATCTCGAGCTAGACTAAACATTCCCGTCAAATGAAACAAGATAATAGGATTTAGAAATCCTAGCCCTGTTTGGGGGGGGGGGGCAGGGGGAGCTGACAAAGTACTAAGCAGCCCAGGCACACGCTACGGATGGCAGAGCAGCCAGCCAAGTGTAGAGGGACCGCTTGCTGGACCTTCCACTCTGTCCCTTGCTCCCTCCTCTTTCCTGTTAAGGTCTGCTTATTATTGGGCTTATTTAATTTTAACTCCAACATTTTTATTATTATTTAGTAGTATTCCATGGTCAGGATGTACCACTTTGTTTAAATACTCACCAGTGAAGGAAATCGAAGTTAATTCAATTTGGGATATTATGAGTTAAGATGCTATTAATATTCACATGTAGATTTTTGTATGATCCTAAGTTTCATTTTTCTGGGATGTATGCCAAAGACTGCAATTAAAGAGGGAAATTAAAGTAGACAACTGCACCTTGAGTTTTATGAAAGTTATGAGAGTGACTGTGCCCTTTCACATTCCCACCAGCTGTGTAGTTTCTCTGTCCTTGCTGTCATTTGGCACTTTTACTTTGGTCAGTGGGGAAGTTCCACCCCCCTTTTAATGTGCATCTTCCTCCTAGCAGGTTTAAGATGAAGAGCCTGTCATTTGCAAATCCTCTGCTGAGATCTCATGTCTTTTACCCTTTTCAAATTTTAACTGCTTGTTTTTAAATAGTGAAATGCACTGTGCTTCTAGTCAGTAGCTTCCCCTGTCCCCTACATCCTCACAGAATTTCACAAGCTTCTTTAATAAGGTGTCATTTATCACTTTTTCCTTGTATGGATATGTTTGTGGTATTAATCTAAGAATTCTCATCTTGCCCTAAACTTCTTAATGCTTTGCAGCTTTTCTAAGCCACAATACACTTCGGCCTGAATTCAGAAACAGCCTGACTCTTAGCATTAGTTTTAAGGCTAACAGAGGACCTGATCTGCCATGCATCCATTACTTCAGGGTTCTCTTGAAACTGTGTTCCCAAGCCTGTGCTTCACTCATTCTTTATTGAAATAGAATCTCCAGTATGGGATGGGGAAGTAGAAATTAGGATCCACCCTTATCTTATCAGAAAATCGTGCCCTTTGATCCCTTAGGCCTAGAATATCACACACACAATTACAAACTTCTCCATTTCTCTCATTGCTTTCAATTAAAAAACAAGCTGCTTTTAGTCCTTTGCTATGTTAATCATGCACACCTGCATTCTTTCATAGTCTTAGGTGGAGGGGAAGAAGGGGTCCTGAGGGATTAAGGTCAAGTGCCCAGGTCACAATGGGAGCAGATGGCTCAGTGGGCTTGTTTACATTATTAACAATAACTTTTTGGTTGCCAGGTTAGGTAAAAGTCTTTAGTCTAGATTATGTCCACATTGTAAAAGTTGTCATTCCTAGAGTGCTTCTTCTTCTTCAGTCAATATGTAGACCAGGCTGACCTCGAACTCACAGAGATCCATGTGTCTCTGTCTCTGAGTACTTGGATTAAAGGTTGGCACCACCCTGCCCAGTTGCCTAATGCTTTTTTAAAATGTGTCTTTCTCTATTGGGTAATTTCTTTTTACATTTTAAAAAATATTTATTTATTATTTTTATTTTATGTGTATGAGTGTGTTGACTGCATGTATCTAAGTGCACTTGTGTTATGCAATACCTACAGAAGAAGTTAGAAGAGGACTTCAGATCCCCTGGAACTGGAATTACATGTGGTTGCTAACTTCCATGTGGGTGCTGGGAATCAAACAGGGTCCTCTGCAAGAGCAACTAGTGTGCTTAACTACTGAGCCATCTCTCTAGCCCCTTTTTACAATTTTTTAAAGATTCATTTTATTTTTATTTGTGTGTGTGTGTGTGTGTGTGTGTGTGTGTGTGTGTGTGTGTGTATACCTGCAGAGCTCCAAAGAGGGCAATGGGTCCGTTGGAATTGGAGTTACAGGTGGTTGTGAACTGCCCAATATGTGTGCTGGGAACCAAACTTGTATCCTCTGTAAAAGCAGCAAGAGCCATCTCTGCAGTCTCTCTACTGGGTTATTTCTGCATTCTTGTCTGAACTCTGGCAGGGCAGGCTAAATAGGTCCAATTCTGGGTTCCTTATTCCATTCCATTGTCTATCCCGTTGCTCTCCTTTGAAGTTTATATTTTTCTTTGACTTCTGAAATTTAAAATCAGAAGAGAAATCTGTGGGATTTTGTCATTGTTTGTTTCTGGTGGTGCTGGAGATTGAACCCCTGGCCCTTTCTCTCTACCACTAAGTCACATTCCCAACGCTGAAATCTGCACTTTGATGACATTTCTGGAAATGTTTTTTCTTGGAATTGGAGGAAAAACACTCTCTGGAACAGTGGAAAGAACTAGTTCTGGGCCCCAACGCTGAAATCTGCACTTTGATGACATTTCTGGAAATGTTTTTTCTCGGAATTGGAGGAAAAACACTCTCTGGAACAGTGGAAAGAACTAGTTCTGGGAATGAAAACGGGAATCTCCTGAACAAGCAGGATGACACTGGGTGAACCCTACCACTCCCTAGGCCTAGCTGTCTTGTCTATAAAGTGAGCGTTTGAATAAAAGAACCCAGTTCTTTCCAAAGTGAACTTCCAGTCATAAACGTTTGTTGGAAGCCATGACTTTCCAGTCCTTGCTTAGTGCTTCTATTTCCAAGCAGAACCAGTCTTGCAGACTTACATGGCATCTGGGGCTTGTCTGATTCGAAGGCCTGAGGTCGCACAGCCTGTTTAGAACAGAACCAAGGACAGAGACCAGGCACCATGACTCCTAGTTCAATGCTATTTCCATTCCATCTGCCTCCCTATTAAGAAGTGACTAGAAGGTTGCAGGATGGCTCAGTAGGTAAATTGCTTGCCTTGAAATCATGAGAGGGTAATTCAGACTGGGAAAATTTGATATAAAAACTGTATGAAGTGGCATCAGAGTTTTCCTAGCAATATCATATCAAACCTGAATATTCAGAGGCTGTGTCTTAAGAAACTAAGTGATGACTAAAAAATATTGGCTGTCAAAAATATTTTTCTTTAACTCTTTTAAAGTAAATACAGAGACTGGACCCAAGGGCTCTATGCAAGGTGTTATCAATAGACTTAATTTTTTACATTTATTTATTTATTTATTTATTTATGTTGGGGTGGGTCATGTGTGAAGGTCAACAGACAAGTCCTGGGAGTTAGTTCTCTCCTTCATCCATGTGAGTTTTGGGGATAGAACTTGGGTCATCAGACTTGGTAACAAAGCACCTTTACCCACTGAGCCATCTCATTGATGCATGTGCTTTCCAACAAATCTGCAAAGAAAAGCTCATTAACCATTGTTACATAAGTATGTAACCATTGCCACATAAATGAGAAACAGAATAGACAAAATCATTCAAATACCAACAGGATATCGTGATGTGCTGGGCCATGAGCGGTCTCCTGGTCACATGAGGGAGCACAACCAATTACATGGCTGGTCTTCTGATGAGAATGAATGGAATGAAAACCTGTATCCAGTGTGGAAGAGGGGAGATTCAAGGTGGAAGACCTCCTGGAAAGGTAAGTCAGAAGGCTCCACCAAACACCTGCAGCTAGCCTCCTTTTGCAAGCTGTAGATTATGCAGCCTTTCAGGCAGCCTGTCTGACACTCCCATGAATGACAGTGCCCTTGCTGCCAAATGGGTGGCACCTGAATTTGGCAAGCTTTCCTTCATCCTGACATTTTCACTTTCTAAGTCATAGAACAATCTTTAATCTTATACATTTCCAAGGTCACAGTTCTTGGAATATTTCAGAGAACAAGCAGAATCAGCCTCACACCTATTGACTAACGTGGGAATAGGCATCCTCAGAAAATTCCAGACTGATAAGATTTGATCATCTCAAAAGTGTGATTTATCAGGGCTGCAGAGATGGTTCAGCAGTTAAGAGCACTGCTGCTCTTGCAGAGGACCCAGCACCCACATAGTGGCTAACAACCATCCATTATTCCAGCCTATAAATAAAATACTTTTCTAAGTGATTTATCGGAAAGTGAATTATCTTCCCGTCAGACAAAAGAACAACTCCTTCAGCCATCCAGTTTTGGAATTAAAATCTACAACTTTTGGGGTTGGAGAGATGCCTCAGTGCAGTTAAGAATACTGGCTATTCTTGCAGAAGACCCCCATTCAAATACCAGCACCCAGATGGTGCCTAACAACTGTCCATAATTCCAGTTTCAGGGGATCCATTGCCCTCTTCTGTCCTTTGAGGGCATTGCACAACACAGGTGCACTTACATCCATGCAGGCAATACCCTCATACACATAAAATAAAAATAAATCAATCAAAAAAGTCTACAAACTTTTAACACTTGTCTCCTCAATCCAAGAAACAGAATTTTGTGTTGTTGTTGTTGTTGTTAAGCAAATGTCCTTTCCATGGTTAGAGACTCCTCTAACTACTCTGACTTGTTTTTCTGTTTCTTTTCTAAAATATTGTACCCTGAAAGCTATAGTTAGCATTCAGAAAATAATTTAACATCATAAAAAGCCCTTACCAATAGATTTCACTTTACATTAAACACTTGTTTATGTTGAAAGGAGAGGCTGGATAAATGAGCTCCTTTCTGTGTTGCCCTAGGAGGCCGTGTGCAGGCCATCCTGACTAGTGACTCACCAGCTCTGGTGGACTCCAATATCACATTTGTGGTGAACCTAGTGTTCCCAAGATGCCAGAAGGAAGATGCCAATGGTGACATCGTCTATGAGAAGAACTGCAGAAATGGTAAGATGGCATCAGCTCTCCTAGACTGCTGGGGACCCATCTCATAAACCTTAATGCTCACAGGTGCTGCTCCTGCCCCCTTGGCATGCTCCTCCTCACATTGGATGACACAGACGTGAGTGTGTAGTCCTGTCTTGGCCCTTCATCAGCATCAGCATCAGCATCAGCCAGCCCTCCTTTAGCACATGGTGGCTTTCTGCTCCTTGGAATTCACTTTTTGGTGTGTGTATGTTTCAGATTTTTTATCAGCATGTGTTCACTATACAAATAATGAGTTTTGTGGTGACGTTTCCCTCCACGTACATCATGTGCTTTGATCACATTCACCTTCAGTCCCCCCTTCTGTCCTTCCTATCGCTGGTTCTCAACTCTTCCCAAATGATCCCTTAAAACCCTTCTTTTTATTGAAGTATTTCTTTAATGCCTCTTAATAAAACCCTTCTTAAAAACTATATTTTGGGGGCTGGAGAGATGGTTCAGAGGTTAAGAGCTGGATGCTCTTGCAGAGGACCAAGGTCCTTCAGTTCCCAGCACTAAAATAGTGGCTAACAACTATCCTTAACTTCAGCTCCAGGGGATCCCATCCTCTCTTCTGGCTTCTGAAGGTATTGCATGGCACAGGTGCATTTACATATACACAAGAAAAACACTCATACACATACAAACAAATAAATCAGGGGAAGAAGAGATTGCTCGGTGGTTAAGACAAGGTTTAGTTCCCAGCACCTAGGTAGCAGCTAACAATCATCTGTAACTCCAATTTCAGGGATCTGATGCCCTCTTCTGGCCTCAGAGGGTATTGCATGACACAGATACACTTACATGCAGGCAGAACACTCACACACATGTAAAATAAATAACAAATACTTTAAAAAATAAGTTCATTAATTAAAAAATTAAAAATAAGCTATATTATTGGGATTGGATGAACTCAGTGAAAGAGCACTTGCTTACAGTGTGTGGGGCTGAGGGTTCCATTCCTAACACCAAAGGGGGGGGGAGAGCAGGGGGCTGGGGGAGAGAATAATATGAAAAAAAAATACCTAACCTATATTACCACACCCAGCTTTTCATTAGTGTCCTTTGGATAGAAGACTACATAATCAATTCTCAGATTTTCATTTTATTACCTACAACTAATTTGGCCATTAAAAAATGCCACCACAAAGCCCCTTTGACAGATGCTTGCTGATTGGTTTAATTTTTGCTAACTAGTATTTTTGAGCAGATGCTACTTGGTTAGTACACATGCTTAATGTGTGTACTTTAATTTTTTTTTTTTTGCTCTTAGTTAAACAGAGGTTTGTTGCTTATGTTGAGTAATCTTATCAGAATTGTACATTCTCAGACACCCAGTTACTGAGATTATTCCAGCAGTGGTACGACTACTCAGGCACTTATGATCCGACTTTATTAATTAGGAATTTTTTCAATTTCTGGTTGTGTTCATTCCTCATTAATTTGTTATCTCCATGTGAGAAAAACACTAAATTCAGCATGGGAAGGGTTTAATATTTACATGGGAAGGGTTATTTCATATTCTCTCTCTCTCTCTCTCTCTCTCTCTCTCTCTCTCTCTCTCTCTTCTTGCTATATAGTCCAGGCTGGCCTCAAACTCATGATCCTCCTGCCTCAGTCCCCTCTCGGCTAGGAGTACAGATGTGTGCCACTATGCCCACCTTTTAAAAAAAGCTGATTTTGACCAACACCTGAGATAGGAAAATCATGTATTTGAGGCCAGCCTGGGCTACACAGCAAGTATCAGGTGAACCTGAGATGTCTTTACCAGAAATCAAGGAAGAACTCAAAGACCAATGGAGTGTGTCAAAAGGACACAGAAGCCAGCTCAAAGAGGCTTCTCTTGGCCATATTTAGGACAACTCAACAATATAAAGGAATAATGACTAATAGCTGGATAAATTTTAAAAAGGTTTTCAAGGGAGAGATTGCTCAGTGATTAAGAGCACTGGCTATTCTTGCAGAGGACCTGGGTTCAGTGCCCAGCACACACATGCTGGCTAACAACCTTCTGTAACTCCAGTTCCAAGGGATCCAATACCCTCTTCTGGCCTCCACAGGTATTGCATGCATATGTTGCACTTACATACATGCAGGCAAAACACACACATAAAATAAAAATAATATATAAATAAACATTTTTAAAAGCTTTTGGGTGACAAATAGAGATGATGCCAGGTGTGATTGCTCACACCTTTAATCCCAGCACTCAGAAGGCAGAGCCAGGAGGATCTCTGCTGAGATCTAGGCTAGTCTAGTTTACATATCTAATTCCAAGCCAGCCAGGGCTACTTAGTGAGAACCTGTCTCAAAAAACAAAACAGGGGGGACTGGAGAGATGGCTCAGCAGTTAAGAGCACATTCAGTCTTTCAGAGGACCAGAGTTCAGTTCCCAGCACCCACATTAGGCTGCTTACAACTGCCTCTAACTCCAGCTCCAGAGGATCCAATGCCTTCTTCTGGCCTCCACAGGTACACACACACACACACACACACACACAAATAAATAAATAAATAA